CCTTCACAGCTCTGTCCCAGCAAGCCTGATGCCAAGACCACCCTTCTCTCCCCCCAAAACACCCAGGAACACTGGCTCAGCTCCATGGGCAAAACACAGGCAACCCATCCAATGAAACACAGGCGCACTGCTCTCTTAGGAGCAACACAAGCTTCTCCAGGGCGAAGGAATGGGAAAAGACCAAGGCCCCCGAACCTACTGCTGGGCCACTGATGGGGAGAAGGGAGAGGAGGTGGGTTAAAAAACGAAGATTCTATTATTCTGCGACGACAAGAAACAAAGTACTGACGCATGCTACAACACGGATGAGGCTTGAAAAGAATATGCTAAGTGAAGCCAGATACAAAGAACTGCACATTGTATGATTCCATTTATATGAACCACTCAGAACAGACAAATCAATCAAGACGAAAAGTAGATTAGTAGTTGCTGGGAGGGGATGAGGGCACTAGGGAATGGTGATGGTACAGGGTTTCTTTGCAAGTGATAAAAATGTTCTAAAAGTGATCATGGCAGTAGGTGCACAACTCTGTGAATACGCTAAAAGCTACTGAATTGTACACTTTAAATTGGCGAATTCTACGGTGTGTGAATGACATCTCAATAAAGCCGTTAAAATTAAACAAGCCCAAGGGCCTATAGCACTACCAGGGGAGAAGAAAGCCAAACACTGCTTGAAACTTTGTAGCATACCCCCACAAGCCAATGGGCCTCACCCACAACTTTCAGAATGGGTAGGAGGAGTGGGGAGCAGGGAATTAAAGACGAGATCACAACTAGCTTCCGAGAAATGAGTCCAACCTCCCTCCTCACTGTTACCATTTTAAGGCTGGAGAAACTGAGGCCCAGATAGGGGAAGTGCCTGAAGACAGAGGACTCAAACCCAGACAGCCAGGGAAGGGACTACTTCCTGCTGTAGGACTCTGTCTCCCCGCCAAAGGAATCAGCAGGTTTCCCAGATGCCAAAGCTTGGCTATTACAAAGGATTCCAGGAAGAACCAGATGATCCCGGGAAAACTGCAAGAGAAGAATCAGCCAAATTGAGGTGGGCCAGGTCAGGTATTCATACACTCAATAACCCCGGGCATGGGTGGCCTTTTGGCGAGGGGGAAAAAAAAAAAGCTGAGAGTTTGCCTAAAGCCATAAAACAGCCAAGCAGGAGATCCTGGGGTTTGAACTCAGGCCTGCCCAGCTCCAAAGCCCAAACTTTTTCCACACTACCCCCACACCATCCAGTAGGCCCCCTGACAGGCAACCCCCAAGCTTATTATTCACCATAACACAGGTGGACAGAAAATTCACTGTCTGCCAACCCCAAGCCTCACACTGAACAGACACCTGTCCTGCCCACCAAGCTTGGATGGTGGGGAGGGAAGAAAGGGGCGGGGTGACCCAGATTTTCCTCAAAAGACACCCACCATTCTCTGTCACCTCCAACTCCAGAGGGCTTTGGCATGAGTTCCCTAAAATCCCAAAGCTAAACAACACTTCCCCAGCTCCTTCCCTGACCAATGAGGAAACGGAGACCCAGAGAACACAGACCTAGCTATTCTGGTCCACCCAGCAAAGCTCCAGCAGAGCCAGTGGGAACCTAGGTATCCTGACTACAGTGCCAGGTCCAGCTTCTCCCACCACTGGAGCATGCATGTCCCCCTCTGAAAATGCTCTGTGGGGTCCTCAAGCCCGGGAGACTTACAAGCCACTCTCTTCACAGGGTAGACTCAATAAGGCAGCCATGCCTGGAAAAGGAAACCCCTGACATTACCACCAACTCCGCACCAGGACCCCAGGGTGCCAAAAGGGCTCCTCATGTCCTACAGTAGCCACAGCACCCGAACAAACAGGAAATCTGAGTAGTCAGAACAAGGATTCACCATCCGGGCCTCCTCTCAACAACTCCTCTCTTTCCCAGGAGATCTAATGGGCCTCCAAGGCTACAAATGCCCCAGGGGACAGCTCAGGACCAAGACTGGAACAGCAGGAAGCATCTTCCCTCTTCTCATCCCCCAAAAGTCCCAAGTTGGATGAGGCGAGGCAGGGAGAAGCATTTTATTCTCTCGTCCCAAGAAGTGCGAGAACAGGAAAAACCTTTCCTCTGTCATCAGGAAGATGACATGCAGCCACAGAGCTTTACTTCCATGTTCTGATGGGAACAAGTATGAGGGAGGGAGCCTAGGAGATGCACAAGGGGTGTAAGGAGAGGTCTTTCTAGTCACCATGGCAGCACACAACTTTCTTCCTTTATGTCCTTGTGCTTATTTCTGTGGAGAAAAGGCAGACTCCCCCAACCAGGAAGAGAAACGATTCCTGGTCCTGACCCTATGGGCTCCGACAACTGATTTTACCTGCATAGTCAAGGGTAGAAAGGGAGCAAGGACAGGGTGCTCAAGACAAGGCCCTGGCCCCTGTGAAGTAAAGAAAGATTTATCTGAACCAAGGGGAAGAGAGATATGGGTAGAGAATTTCCCTGGAGTGGGGCTATCTCTGGCGAGAACAAAGCTTGTTGAAAGCAATTCAGGAAGCTCAAAACATTTCCCTGATCCTGGAAATGAGAGGCAAACAGCTGGGTCAGGGAGAGACTCAGGGGAGGCCTCAGCCACCACGTCCCCAGTACCTGGCAACCTTCTCATAGACAGCAGGGAGATCTTCCTGGTAAGGGGTTCTTAGGACTATGAAGAGCACCCACGTCTTTCTGTTTAATGGAGGAGGCCGCAGGCCACACTGGAGAAGACCTCATGTCCCTCTTACTGGTGAGAAAGGACTGCCTGGTTGCAGGGTGGTGGAGAGAGCCTCATACTCAAGGGGGGAGCTCAGGCCCCTCCCTAAGGTGAAGGATCTCTTGTCCCTGAGAAGCTTAGGCCCCTGGGAAGAGGCTCAACTCTTCCTCAGAATCCCATCCTATCCATGTCCCAAGGGGAGTGGGTAGTTCTCAGGATTTAGTTCACAAATGGTCTGAGGCTCAAGTCCCCAAGGCAAAATATCTTATGTCCCTAAAAGGTCCCTATGACTGGGGTATACATATGCTATCTGAAGTGAGGTGACAATTACTCTCGGGGAAGACTCAGGTCTCAGGTCCAAAGGTGGGTTGAGTTGTCTCACACACCAAAGAGAGAGTTTAAACTCTTAGGGGGAGACCCAAGATCCTACTCCCCAGGGACTTAGGGCCCAAGGTGGAAGGAGACTTTCTGTTCCTGAGGAATACCTTAAATTCCTTGAGGGGGAAGCCCAGACATCATCTCTAGAGACACACCAGTCACTGAGGTATGTATGGGTCTCTTGTCCTTGAGGGCAAGTTCAAGTGTCCTTGGCGCAATGGGTCTCAGGCCCTGAAGGCAGACTCAGATCCATGGGGAGGCCTCAAGCTCCATCTCTGCGACTCCATGCTGCCCATGTTCCCTGAAGAGTGGTATCAGGCTACAGTTCCCAAAGCAGGGATCATACATCCCTGACAAGAAGCTCAGGCCCAAGGTGCCTGGGTGGCTCAGTTAAGCATCTGCCTTAGGCTCAGGTCGTTATCCTGGAGTCCAGGGATGAGCCCCACCTCAGGCTCCCTGCTCAGCGGGGAGTCTGCTTCTATACCTCTGCTCCTCCCCCACGCCCCCAATCCCTGCTTGTGCGAGAGCGCTCTCTCTCTCTCAAACAAATAAATAAAATCTTAAAAAAAAAAGCAACAGCTCAGGCCCTTGGGGTAGGGGGTGCTCAGATCCCTGTTGCAGGGAGAGAAGGAGCTGTTATGTACCCAAGGTGTGTTCCAGTCCTTCATAATTAGAAGGATCTCATATCCCTGTGTTTGTGTGTGTGTGTTGGGAGAGGGTGTCTCAGACCCCCCAAGGAGAACACTCAGATACCAATCCCTGATGAGAAAGGACCTCTGAAGGCCTCACCTTGCCTGGGACCTCTGTGGGGGGGGGGGGGGTATCCATCTCCTGAAGAGGCTTCAGACCCTGTCTCTGTAAGCCCCCATCCATAAACAGGGGGATCTTGGGCTCAAGTGCCTGAATCAGTGAGGCTTATTTTCTGGAAGAAAGGTTCAGGCTGGTGAGGTTGGGGGAGAGAAGAGCTGAAAGCCTACCACTTAAAAGAAACTTAAGCTCCTAGAGAGAAATTCAAATTCAGACTCTCGGCCCCAAGAAGGTCTCAGACCACTGAAAGGAAGCATAGACCCTTGTCACTTAGTAAAGGGACAAATCTCATGTACCTTAGTAGTTTCTGGTCCCTGAGTGTTAGTTTTGGCTCTTGTCCCCAAAGGGAAGAGAATCTTGTCTCCCTGGAGAAAAATTCAGATCCCCCTTCTCTAAAGAGAATATATATACATGCATGTATCAGGCTCTTGATTCTAGAAAAGGGAGTCTCAGGCACTCGAAGGCAGGCTTAGGACCCTTAAGGAAGTCTCAAACTCCACTGCAGGGTGGTCCTGAGCTGTGTCCCCATGAGAAGGAAAAGGACGGGAGATTGTCCTGTATAGACTCCTGAGAAGGAAAAGGAAGGGGGATTGTCCTGTAGACTCCTGAAAAGGGTTTATGTATCTTGGGGACGCTCAAAATTCCCCTGAGGTCTCCACCTTACTTGCGTTCCCTGAAGGAGAAGTCTTAGACCCTTATCCCAGGGGAAAGGAAATCTCAAGGCACGGAACACAAACCAAGGTCCCTTGCAGTCATGAGACTCCCCTCTCAGGAGGCAATCCCATCTAATGGCCCTACATGATGAGGTCTCATGGCCCGGAATAATGGCTCTGGGTCCCAGAAGAGACCACAGACTCCATCCTTAAGTCCGCCATCTTATCTGGGGCCTCTAACCCCCAAGTCCTTGGTGGGGGGTGGGGAAGAAGGTGCCTCAGGCCCCCACCACCAGAGGAGAATGCCAAGCTCCGGGAGAAGACGTAGGTCCCTCGGGACGATCTCAAAACAGCCTTCTTTGGGTCCCTACCCGGTCTGGGGATTCCACCCACCTTGGGGATCCCACCCACCATACCCACTCACCTGTTACCCCCCAGCCCATACCTGCTCAACGGTTGCGGGGTCCATAGCCTCGATGCGAGCTGCAGCCGCTTCATACTCGTCTTCACTGTTATAACCCGCGCCGACCTCCTCACGCTCTGGACTGCCCCCTCCAACCGCTCCGACCCCGGGGGCTTGACGCCGCCGCTTGCTGTGGCCCGGCCCTGAACAGCAACCGCCAACGCCTACGGCTCCGCCCACGCCCACCACCACGCCCGCCGCGCCCACACCCGCCGCTGCTGCACCCAGCGCGTCGCCGGGACCGCCGCCGGGACCAACAGGGCCCCCGCAAGGAGGAGGTGAAGCCTGCTGTGGCCGCGGACCCGCCACGGCGCCAGGCGGCACGGCCAGCGCCCAGCGGTGAAGCGCTCCCGGTGGCCCCGGTAGCGGGCCCTGAGGCGGTGGCGAGGCCCGGGGACGGGCCCCCACGACACCCGAGTCACGGTCGCGGTCGCCACCGCCCACACCCGTGCCGCCGCCGCCCACGCCCACACCCCCGCCGCGACGCGGCGCCGGGGGCAGCGGCCCGGGCGGCGGCGGTTCGTTGGCGGGGTCGGCGTCGGGAGGCGGCGGCTTCTTTTTGGGGAGAATAGTCATGGCGGCACCGCCAAGTACCCCCCAGCAAACCCGGCGCGAGGCACGCCGGGAGAGAACCCGGATGAGGGGGCTACTGTGGTGCGCGAAGCACGACGGGATCGGCGGGACCCGGATAAAGAGATTGACGATGCACCGGTTCGAGAACCGTCGGTGGCGCGCGGGTCACGCGGCAGGAGAACCCGGATGTGAAGTCCTAGATGAAGGGACCGCGGCGGGTTTGTCGCAGCCTTCTCTCCAGTCCAACAAGTTTATTGCTACACTCGCTCGTTCCGGCCTGCTGCTTCAAAGGAAACAGAACCAAAACAAGAACCTCTTCGCCCCGCCCCCTCGCAGGTTCTTGAACTACCGGGTGGGGCCCCGGGGCGCTGCGCACGCGCGCCAGGGCACGGCCCCGCCTCTCGTTCGGAAGTACGTGGGCAAAATCTTCGCCGCCGCCACAACAATCGCGGGCACCAACCAATCGGGGCAGCTGCGTGGGTGCTCGATGACGCCCACGGGCCAATCAGATGCGAGCGATCGCCCTCCCGTGCCCTCTGTCTCAGATTTCAGTCAAAGTCGGCACCCTCGTTCCTTGCCTTCCTTCTCGTCCGCCCCGTCGCGCTCTCCTCTCCTCTAGGCTGTGACTCGCAGGCGGGGGTACTAAGACAGGACAGCGTGGCCGGCCCCGCGCACGACAATTTTGGAAAGCGCCTCCCTGCCAGGCTTCCAACTTGGCCGCAGTCAGCCGGACTGACTGGAAAATATCAACACTCCCAGAGCATAGCACTCCCCTGAAGCGTCAGTTCCGGTCCCACCCACCTGCAAATCCACGTCCGGCGGGGAGGCGGGTACCGCTTCACCCTGGCAACAGACCGAGTTCTGGGGTGATTGGTTAAGAGGAGCCGTCATTCACGTTGGGCCGGCCAACCCTGGGACAGACGTGCACCGTGGGGACCTTGGGTGTTTGGGAAGCAGACACACCTTCTTTGGCTCCGCAGCACTCTCGCCCTCGCGTTGACCTCCCCGCCCCTGTGGCTAGTGCGCAAGCGCAGCACAGCCTTTCCACCGCCTTCCCCGCCCCCCGCCCCCCGCCACTGAGTTTACCTGGGTTGAGCAAAAGTTTATGAACCAGCGCTGTCACCAGCCAGTGCTTTGCAAGGGGGTTGGTAAAATCCCTGGTGTTGAGCGGTTGGAGAGCTACAAGCTAATCGGAGCTCTGCCCCTCCTGTCTGAGCGATCTTTGGCAAGTCATTTACCATCCATCCCACCCGCAATTTTTCAAGAAATTTTATTTATTTTTTTAGTAATCGCTGTACCCAGAGGGGAGCTTGAACTCACAACCCCCGAGATCAAGAGTCGCATGCTCTTAGGACTAAGCCAGCCAGGCGCCCCCATCTGCAATTTCTACTTCTCTGTAACGTGGCAATGATAATTATGATTTAAGGATCAGAGGTTAATGCTTGTAAAGGGCCTAGTGCTGTGTCTGACACATAGTAAGTGGTCAATAAATTAGTCTGAATGGCAGTGCAAGGAAAAGGATCCCAGGCTTTGGAGTCAGGAAGACCTCAGTTGCAGAACCTGATGGACCGTTACCAACTGTATGACCTCGAGCAAGTCATTGTGTCTCAAATTTGAGGTTAATTTTTTTTTGAGAGTTAATAATTTATTTCACATGTCGTTTTAAGATTCAGACAACTACAGAGATTCAGATTCGTACAGGGAAAATCCCCTGCACATAGCAGATGCGCATTAATGTCAGCCATCGTGACGTCATCATCGCTTCTCCCCTCTCTTCCCATTCCTATTGCCCATCTTTGGGAACTCTGGTGTCCCAAAGTCTGCCTAGACTACCTCAGGGAGTAGTTATGGGGTTCAGATGGGCTTATGAACCAAGAAGTTGTTTGGAGAGGTGAGGGCTTGCTGCCAGTCTTGGGAGTCGAGCCATACATGTTGACCGAAAGATGATCAGAAAGCTCTTCTGAGTGCCATCTAACCTTCTTCCTTCAGATGCTGACCTTGGTTGAAGTTCTTCCCCGAAGGGTGTCAGTTACAAACGGCATGTTGTGTTTTCTGCTCTGAAGACTTAGTGGGAGAGGACTCACGTTTCCTGGGCCTATTGTGTTCAGGGCGCTATGCCTAATGCCTATGCATGTTATCATATTGAATCTTCTTCTATCTATCTATCATATTGAATCGCATGATCCTCTCACTTGACCTATATTTCCTACTAGATATTTATTTGTCCAGCACTACATGTCTAAAATTGAATCTAGGGTAACATTGTAGCTAATCTTCACCAAGTACTTTCTATGTGCCTGGCGCTGTGTGCTAATGGGTTTGAGGTTCCTTTTGACAGTGAGTGCCACCCCCCACTCAGGCTTTGCCCAGGCCAGAACCTGGGAGTCACCCTTGTCTGCTTCCTCTTCCTCAACTCCCACATGCCTGTCAATCCCAAGTCCTGCCAATTCTACCTCTCAAATCTCTTGATTCTCCAACTCTTACCACCACTACACTTCCAAGCCAGCATCACCCACCAACTGGACTACTGCAAAAGCCTCCTCACCACCCTTCCTCCCGCCAGGACTGTTTCTCTAGAATCCACTGTCCACAGCCAGAGCGATCCTTCCGAAATGCAAACCTCAAGATGACTTTCCCGTCTACAAGCCTTCAGAGGTCCCCGTTATCCTTAGGATAAAGTCCAAAATCTGTACGTTAGCTTCAAAGGCTTTTTGTGATCCGGCCTATCTCCACATCCTTACTCTCATCACAGCCTCACACTCTCCTCCCCAGCTGAACTGAATTTCAGTTCCCCAAAGGCCCTGAGCTTGCCTCCTAACCTCTAGGCCATTGCACATGCTGTTCCACCTGCCTGAAACATTTTTATCCTTTTGCCTGGCTAACTCCGCCTCATTCTTTGGGTGTTGGCGGGGTTAGGTCCTCCTGTCATCTGCATGCTTCTGCAATCCCATCGATTTTAGTTCTACAACACTACACTGTAATTGCTTAATTGTCTGCCCTCCATGCTCACCTCTGTAGATCAGAGACAATGTCTTCTTTGCCCATCTTTGTATCCCTAGGGCTAGCACATGATACGCGGTTAATAAATATTTGGTGAATAAATGACTATTATTTTACAGATTAGCAACCTGAGGCAAGAGAAGGTTTAAGTGACTCTCTCACCTGGGGATTGGAACCCAGGTCAACCCAAATCCAAGGTCTGTCTTCTTGGTGCTCCACAGGGCTCAGTCACACACTAGCCTAGTGTACCCAGTAGCCCAGCAGAGAGAATGCAGGGGATGTCCACAAGGAGGGGGAATTTGCCGAATTTGAGAGAAGCTTTCTTTCTTCTTCTTTTTAAATCTTGAGTTTTCTTTCTTTTTTTAAAAGCTAGCTCTAGGCCCAATGTGGGGCTTGAACTCATGACCCTGAGATCAAGAGCCGCATGCTCTACTGACTGAGCCAGCCAGGCGCCCCTGAGAGATGCTTGTAATTAGGGTTCAGTTCAGAGTCATTTGCTGCCAGGAAGCCCGGGGTTTAAGTCTCCTCTAACCAAGCGTGTGCTGCTGTGGGTCTCAGCTCTTCAAACCACCCTCTTTAATTCCTCCTAGATCCCCATCTTCCAGAACATGTCACCAACCACTGACCTCCCAATACCTGTACCCACACCTGCCCTTCTCCTGGTTGAAAGGAATTGAAACCAGAGTACTTTCAACTCCCCCCCACCACACACACACCAGCCCAACCCAGCCTCCAAACCCACAGAGCCAGGAGGTGCTCATCCCCATCTCTCCTCTCAGGTTTTATTGACTGATGGAAACTACATCTTTGTCAGCCACCCACTCCACGGGGACAGTGCTGGGGACAGGGGACCTGAGATGCTGCCAGATTTCAGCCTGAGAGCAGACACAGAGTTCTGGAAGGTGACCCAAGAGGGAAAAGAGAGAGGAATATGTGAAAAGGCTTTGTGGGGTGGGGGGAGGGAGGAAGAGGAGATCAAGAAGTTCCTCCTGCCCCCAACAACTCCCAGAGTTCAGGAACAAGCCAGGCCTCAGCCCCTGATGCTTCTGGACTCCTGCCCAAGAACTTGGAATCAGCTATGATCTCCAAACACAGCCCAGCTCTCGCTGGCTGCTAGGCTCTTATCTCAGCCAGTCCAGACTCCAGCTGAACCCAGGAAGGAAGCAAACCAGAGGAGAAGAGAGGAGGAGTGGGTGGAGGCGGCCCCTCTGATTAGGGCAGATGTAAATGCAGCAGCAGACTGGGCAGAGAGGCTTTGCATAATTGTCATGGCAGCAGCTGCTATTGCTAGAGTTTGCTGGGGGCCCAGTGGAGGACGGGGTTGCAGGCACCCGTTTCCAGCAGCCAGGAAAGGGGAGTGGTGTTTGTGCTATCTGTGTGGATTGGGAGAGGCAGCCTGACCCCTGAGCCAAGGCCGGGGGCTGGCAAGTCACTGCTGAGGCCACAGCCCGTGAAGCCTGTGGTTGCATTCCAAGCTTCAGAACTGGGGATTTGTGGGGCTCGGTGGAGGGCGGGGACATCTCCTAGAGGCCAGATCAGAGGCGAAAGTTCTCTTCTCTGAACCCCCAAACCTCCACAGCCCAGCCAGAGAGAAGAGGGAATCTCATCTCTCCTTCTCAGGCCAGAGCTCAGATGTCAGGTGGGGCCCCCAGGGGCCCAAGAGGAGGAGCATGCAGGAGGCCAGCTAGGGGAGAGAGGCCAGCCCCAGCATGCTGGGGCAAGGAGGCCGGGGTGGGGGGGTGGGGGGGCGGGGGGGCCTGAGGAGGCCCGGCACTTCAGCGCCCCCTGGAAAAACTGTCGGGGGTGGGGAAAGTTTCCCCTTCCCTGGCTGCTTCCCCACCAGGTGAGCCATTCCATCAAGCTCCATTGCATAGTTCTCAGTGGGGGGCAGAAGGGGTCCCCAGGCCTGCCCCTCCCGGCCTCCCCAAAATATGGCTTTGGAAAGGAGTTCCCAAAAATCGAGAGGGCCCTCTGGACGGGCGGACCCACCGCTCACAGGGAAGAGATCTTGACAGTCTCCGGGAGGAGGCAAGGGGTGCCCAGGCTGGAGTTCCTGAGGGTGCTGCTGGCCCCACCACCACCACCAGGGGAGGAAGGTTGGCTCTCGTCCGGCGTGTTGGCAGGAGGGGTAGGGATACTGATGATGGCAGCCACAAAGTCCCGGCTGTCGCAGTTCAGGTCGAGGCTGTCATGGGGCTTGGCATTGAGGCTTGAGCGGCTGTGGATAAGGGTGCGGAGAT